TAAATTCAGGAGAGATAATTTTTAAATTATTGGACTTTCAGAAAGCCATGGTCAAAAAAAGAGCCTAGACATAATCTTTCAAAAAATTATCAAGGAAAACTGTCCTGATATTCTAAAACCAGGGTAAAATAGAAATTGAAAGAATCCAATGATCACCTCCTGAAAGAGATTTCAAAATGAAAACTCCCAGGAATACTATAGCCAAATTCCAGAGTTTCTAGGTCAAGGAGAAAGCAAGCAGCCAGATAGAAACAATTCAACTACTGTGCAGCCACAGAGTAACACAAGATTTAGCAGCTTCTATATTAAAGGATCAGGAGACTTGGAATATGATATTCCAGATGGCAAAAGAACTAGGATTACAATCAAGAATCACCTATTCGGCAAAAGTGAGTATAATTTTGCAGAGGAAAAAATGGACATTTTAAAGAAATAGAGGACTTTCAAGCATTCCTGATATAAAAACTAGAGCTCAGTAGAAAATGTGACTTTCAAATACGAGACTCAAGAGAAGCATAAAAAGATAAAGAGGAAAGAGAAATCAGAAGGGACTTAATAATGTTAAGCATGGGAAGATGAGACTTGTAACTCATAAAAACTTTCTCATTATTAGGGCAGTTAGAAGGTAGATATATAGACAGAGGACATAGGTGTTAGATGAATATGATGGGATGATATCTAAAAAAATTAAGAGATAAAAAAGAGGAATGCACTTGGAGAAAGGGAAAGGGGGAGGTAGAATGAGGTAAATTACCTCACATACAAGAGGCAAGAAAGAGCTTTTACAGTGGAGGGGAAGATGAGGGAGGTGGTGGGAAACATTTGAACCTTACTCTCATCAGAAATGGCTCAAAGAGGGAATAATATACATGCATAGAAATCTATCTTACCCTTCAGGAACATAGGAGGGTAAAGGGAGGAAAGAAGAAGGGGAATTTTCATTGAGGGAAGGCAGATTGGGGGAGGTGATACTCAAAAGCAAAACACTTGAGGAACAACAGGGTGAAAGGAGAGAGAGAAGAGAATAAACAGGACAGAAATAGAATGGAGGAAAATACAATTAGCAATCATAATTATGAAAAAATTTTTGAAGCAAGTTTCTCTGACAAAGGCCACATCTTTGAAATATATAGAGAAATGAGTCAAATTTATAGATATAAGAGTCATTCCCCAACTGATAAATGATCAAAATATATTTTTTCAGTCAGTTTTCAGATGAAGTAATCAAAGCTATCTGTAGCTATATGAAAATATGCTCTAAATCACTACTGACTGAAGAAATTAAAATTAAAACAATTCTGAGGTGCTACCTCATAGCTATTAGATTGGTTAATAGGACAAAAAAAGGAAAAGGACAAATGTTGGGGGGAATTCTGGAAAAATGAGACACTAATGCACTATAGGTGGAGTTGTGAACTGATTCAACCATGATGTAGAACAATTTGGAACTATGACCAAAGGCCTATAAAACCATACATATCCTTTGACTTAGGAATACCACTACTAGGTCTGTATTCCAAAAGAGATTAAAAAAAAAAGCACTTACAAAAATATTTATAGTAATTCTTTTTTGGTGGCAAAGAATTGGAAATTGAGGAAATGTACATCAACTGGAGAATGGTTAAACAAGTTGCAGTGTATGATTGTGATGGAATACTACTGAGCTATAAGAAATGATGAGCTAGATGCTCTCAGAAGAACCTGGAAAGACTTACATGAACTCATGCAAAGTGAAATGAGTAGAACCAGAAGAACATTCTACACAGTAACAGCAATGTTATAAGATGATCATTTGTGAATGACTTAGCTGTTCTCAGCAATAGAATGATCCAAGACACTTTGAAGGACTTATGATGAAAAATGCTAATCATCCCCAGAGAAAAAACTAATGGGGTCTGAATACAGATTGAAGTATACCTTTTTCACTTTTTTTCTTGAGTTTTTATTTTGGTCAATGTTTTTTTTTTATAATATGACTAATATGGAAATATGTTTTGCATGACATGTATACCTGTATCATACATATATGATATGTATGACATGCATACATGCATAACCTATATCAAACTGTTTGCCTTCTCAATTACAGAAGGGCAGAGGGAGGGAGAGAATTTGGAACTCAGTTTTTAAAACAAATGTTGAAAATTGTTTGTACATGTAATTGGGGAAAAATAAGATATTAAAGAAAAAAAGAAAAGCAAGAATTATTTGTAATGAAGATAAACTAGAAGCTTTTCCAATTAGATTAAGGTGAAGCAAGGATGACCATTATTATTATTATTCAACATTGTACTAAAAATGCTAGCTATAGCAAGAAAACAAGGAGAAGAAATGAAATGAATAAGAATAGGCGATGAAAAAACAAAACTATTGCTCTTTGCAGAAAATATAAGAACTTAGAGAACGTTAGAAAATTACCTAAATATCCAGTCAAAATAATTAACAACTTAACACAGTTGTAGAATGTATGATAAATCCACACAAATCACCAGCATTTCTAGATATTACCAACAAAATCTAGCAGGAAGAGATAGAGAAATTCCATTTAAAATAGCTGCCTACAAAATACCTGAGAGTCTACCTGCTAAGACTAATATAGCAACTATATGAACAAAATTACAAAACACTTTTCACACAAATAAAGACAGATCTAAAAATCTAAAGAAATATTCATTGCTCTGTAGGCTGAACCACTATGATAAAAATGACAATTCTACCTAAATTAATTTACTAGTTCAGTGCCATACCAAGCAAACTACCAAAGAATTATTTTATAGGGCTAAAAAAAATAATAAAATTCATCTGGAAGAACATAAGGTCCGGAACATCAAGGGAATCAGACTCACAAAAGAATATTTTGTAGAATTATAAATATAATAATGAAATTCATATACAGGAACAAAATTCAAGACTCTAAAGAGTAAGAATTTTTTAAAATGGGAAGGAAGGGGATCTATTAGCATCAGATCTCAAACTAGATTACAAAGCAATAGGCAGCAAAAATTATTTGTCCTGGGGGAGGGAGAGAAGGAAGGAAGAAGGAGAAGGAGGGAGAGGGACAGAGAGAATAAATGGAAGAAAATAATAAAATAAATGGAATAAAAAAGCATTTCCAGAACACAGAACATAAAAAAGATGATTGCATATGAATCTGCAAAAGATGCCAATTATGAGGGGAAAGGCTTACTATTCGACAAAAACTCCTCTAAAAATTAGGCAGCCATTTGGCAGAAATTAGGTTTAGAACAAAATTTAAGTTTCAACTATTCCACCATTTCGAGCCCCTATTTCAAGACTCCTAACAACTCTAGACAAGTCATATAAAATTTCATTTTAGTAATTTTCTTCTCTTGGTGGTAGACAAGTCACTTTGCCACTCTGGTTTCAGTTTTCTCATCTGTAAGATAAGAGGACTAGAATAGAAAATATCAAAGATCCCTTCTAATTCCAATAGTCTAGTGATCTATGAGTTAGGCTGTCAGGATCAATAAACAAATACAATAATTACCACAATTATGAAAGCTTTGGGGGATTTTTTTTTTGTTCTTGCCACATAGCATTAAACTTGTTTAGTTTAATCAATCTTCAGAGACTATTCTCCCTGAGAGCTAGTACAGGTCACCTAGTGTAGAGAACATTTTGTGATATTCTGAACCCTTCAAAAATATATTAAGAGGAATTTTTTTTTCTAAGATAGCAGTACAACCAAATTTAAGGCTTATATGTATACCTTGAGAAAGGTTAAATTTGTACATACAACTAGGATTTTTAGAAATTTTTATCACCTTTTTCATCTTTATCTCCTTTCCAAACAGATGGTGATAAAACTTTTTTCTCCTCACATACCTCTAAATTTACTTCTGAGTGTTAGATCTAAGACTGTTGAGGAGGGTAACAACTGAGCCACTTAAGTAGAAGATTTATAGCACAAAGTGATTACCAATTTTAACGTCCCAATCAATGCTCTAAGTAGATAAAAGTGTCACCAACAAAGTGGATGCATATACCTAAGCCAAATTAATATACAAACTATAGATGTAACACATCTGGACATACCGTTAGGAACAACACTTGCTTTTTGTATTGAAGCCAAAGTCTAAGTAACATTTCAGTCTGTACATGAGAGGAAGTTAACTGTTGGAATAAGTTGAAATAAGGAGGAGACATGGCTGTGGGCAACTGGCCAAGTGAATTGGGAGGGGGAGGGATTCTACCTTTCTCTGGAGTTTGAGGCAGGAAGCAAGAGGCAGTACCCCATATAGCTGAATCTCTGAGTAGCACATCTTGAAACCCTTACGGTGAGATACCTTCTAGCACTAACACAAATAGAACTTCCTCCCCTGCAATATAAATTCAATCTATATTCTATAAGGCTCTAGGTACTTGATCTGCACATGAAAAAAGATAGGATAATTTAGAAAACATCTCCTCCCTATAAAAAGTAGTACTATCCTCTGATGATGATAAAAACAGCAAATACATCATTCTTTAGTATTTATTCAAACGTATATTTGAATCTTTTAATGGTTCAGGTATGAAGAAGAGACTTTTGAAGTCATTTTACTGTTTAGGAAACAGAGAGGTTAAGTGACTTGCTTAGTGTCACATGAGAAATAAGCATCAAAGGTGGAACTTGAATTTAGGGGCTCTGACTAAAATTCCGGTATTCTTCTGCTGTACTATGTATCTCTGAGCCTCAGTTTCTTCATCTGTAAAAGGAAAAGGTTTGATTACACGATTTCTAAAGAAACCCCTTACAGCTCTAAATTTTAATAATTCTTTTTTGAATGGAGTATGGCCAAGATTAAAAAAAAAATTAGGTCAGGCAAGCCCGGTAATGGCTCAAAGTATGCTCATACCTGTGTGTGTGTGTGTGCATGTGCACACACACACACGCACGCATGTCAGTCTGAATGAAGAAGTGGACTAAGACAGCAATAGTCTTATTAAGGCTGAAAGAAAAGGCAGACAGGACAAGAGAGGAAATGTGTTCTGGTTACCTGGTGTGGCTGTTGGAAGAAAGGCTCTCCCAAGGCTGCACGCTGCAGCCAGGGACAGCGAATGCTCCCCCACAGCTCCCATCCAGCTTCATCAGCAGGGCTTTGGCGGCATTCTCAGCTGTCTTCCGGCAATCGTGAGCATGCTTGAGCATCTGGGTAACATTTTCATCTCTTGTCTGGTCCCCTAAGTTGTAAAGTAATCAGTGGAATAATTGACATAGCATAAGCCTGGGGAGGAACATAGGCAAGCAATATTCAATTATTCAATGGATGAGAAGCAGGGTGCTGTAGGGAAAAAGGTATTAGACTAAATGTCAGCACACCTGGGTTCCCATTCTGGCTCTCTCATTGTATAATCTTGTTCTCTGGTCTTGTAATCTTCTTTCTTGACCACAGTTTCCTCATCTATACAATAAAATCCCTTTCACTTCTAACATCCAATTATTCAGGAATTATCCAATTCAGGCTCAGGTTATCACATTTTTTAATAGTACAATGGTTCTTTAGGAGGGCAGGCAAGGAAAATAAACAGCAGAATAATGCAACTTTATTACTAGTTCACTTCCCTGCTAAAAGATTTATTAGGAAAAGGGTAAGGAACTAGTGGCTAAAATGAAAGCACTGAATTATCTCTCGATTTCCTTTACCTGTGCTATTGCATTTCTATTATTAGTTTAGCTGATCTATAGTTAACCAAATAAGGTAATATATATAAAGAGCTTTGCAAACACTAAAGCATTATATTTGCAAACATATAAAGCACTGCATATATAAAGCTACTATTGTTAATAAAAATGGCAAATGAAGCATGAAATTTAAAAAAACCTCTGTGAAGTCTATGAGAAACAAAAAATTATACTGGGAGCAAATATTATTCAGAACACTGGCATTTCCTTCTCATTGGCACAAATAAGAGGCAGCATGATGTAATATGGACAGCGAACTGTGCCTGAGAGTCTAGAAGAGCTGGATTCAGGTACCCTTTCTGAAGCATTCTGGCTATGAGACCATTGGAATAAGCTTTTGGTGCCTCAGGAAACTGATGTTGTTTTTGAGTCATTTTTCAGTTATGTCTGACTCTTCATAACCTCATTTGGAGTTTTCTTGGCAAAGATACTGGAGAAGTTTGCCATTCCCTCCTCTACTTCATTTTATATATGGGGCAAACTGTGTTAAGTAACTTGCCCAAGGTCAAATAGCTAGTCTGAGGATGACTTTGAACTCATGAAGATTAGTCTTCCTGATTCCAAGCCCAGTACTCTATCCATTGCACCACCTAGCTGCCCTCAGAAAACTGTCCAAGGCTTTAAACTGCAGAAGAGTGGCCAATATGCACTGGTAACTGGAGTTTCTTCACTAGAAGTTGCACAAGTCAACAAAAACACAGGTCTATGTGAGAAAAAAAAGTTGGCACCAAGTAACACTTTCAGTGTCCCTATTATACTTTCCTTGCATATAGAGAATTGGGAGAGGTAAAGAAAAAAATAATTGAATTTGATGCTATTCAAAATTAAATTGACCCACTAAGGCTTTTAAGTTGTATTGGGTGCTGGTAAGTATCAGGTAAAAAGGCTGTGGACAGCATGGTCCCTAATGCTTTTTGGCTTTTGTCCATCTGAAAACCAACCTTTCCAAAGATATCTTTTTGTCTCACAAATCACATATTAAAAATAAATCCTAATTCATTCCTCCTTCTTCCACTGACATCCTATTCTAATACGTCACAGTGGTACAGAGTTAAGTCTGGGTACTCAAAGGCTATGCCAGTAGAGTAAGGGAGCTGGCAGGACATACCAAGACGGAAAGGCTTCAGATATGAGTCTAGTGATGGACTGTGCCTGTGGACTAAGGACTAAGCTTAGAGAGCTCAGAAAGGCTCAGCAGCTCAGCTTGGCTCACCAGTTAGATTTTTTCCCTCCTGCCAAAGACACTCATGAAGACTTTTAAAGGAGAGAGGGCTGCAATCTAGGTTGGCTGGAAACAGCACTACACTGATGAAATCATGTATCCTTTAAGTATGAGAATTCCTTAAGTTCAGCTCTGAAAAAATGGTGTAACTAAGAAGGTTATTTTATAAATACATGCCTGTTACCTAGAACTAGGTAAATTTGAACTATTTTATTATTGATTTTAAACATTTACTTAAATGATCCCAACTACTTACACAAGTAGCTATGTTGTACTCACGTTTTGGGCTCACAAAAGAATGTTCTTGAAATTTAAGATAAAGAGTTCTCTCTAATATAAACTAAAATTAAGCCAAATGATTTATTCCCCTTTAACTGATCCTATTTGTTAATAGGTATGTTTTTGAAAATCTTGACTGCTGGCCAAGACCATTTTTGGATCAGTTTCATATGAGAAATAAAGTTTTATAGATCAACTAAAAGATGCTGAAAAAATGAGGTTTCTAATGGAATTGCTGGCACTGTCTCTGTTTTGGAGCTGGGAAAGGTAATGGTCTTAATTTTTTAAAAAGAGTGGGTAAAGAAGTTGAGAATGGCCTGATGGAATTAAAGTGCTTGTAGAGAGTACTATAGGATAAAGGGAGATTAGGAATATTTGGGGGAGTGGGGAGAAATGAAGAAATTCAGACATAAACATACACATGCTTCCACATATTTTTAAAGGGGAAGATATTGAAAGTTTTAAAATTTTCTCATGGAACCTCTATTCACATTTCAAAGGAACCAGGGTTTTATAGAACAGCAGTTGGGAAAGGGTGACTTGAAAATGAAGAGCAAAAACAGAAAAAAAATCCATTCACACTAAAACTATAAAGCCCTAATTATGGGAAAGAAAACTTGGAAAAAATTCAATCAGAGGAATGTGCCCCTTGAAGCCAATGTCACACAGTGAAGGGAGAGTGGGTTCCTGCTTTGAAAGAAGAAAGTTGAATCACTTCTATTGCTACACCAGTCTTAATGTCTAGCAATTCCATTAGCCCATGAAAATACATTTACAGGGAAGGATTGTTTGTTTTAACTTGTCTGGAATTCTGAGTTTCAATTGCAATTCTTATTCCATTCAAAATAAACAATTTACTCAGAAGGGAGGAAAAAAAGAAAAACACACTTTAACAGAGTGTTGGGGAACACATACAGTCAATGAAGCATAGAATAGGACTTGAGAGAAATACATTCATGTGACTCTTACCAACAGATCCCACACCTGCTGCTCGGAACTGTCCAAGGATAAGAGACTGTTCACTTTCTGCTAGTGCCAACAGGAGTTCATAGGCTTCTATGCATTGCTCACTGTAAAACATAAAACTCAGAGTCCTCAACTAAGAAAAAATACATGTAGTCAAAAAGTTGAGAAAACAGGTATTGCAGCATAACAGAAAAACCACTGGTTATTAGAGTCAGGAGACCTGACTTGGAGTCCTGGCATCAACACTAAATAAACATGTTAACACAGACAAGTCACTTCATCTTTCTAAGTTTCATTTTCCACATCTGTAAAATACAGTACCATTGTGATGCAGGTTGTCGGAAAAAGAACTCTGCAGATAATAAGCGCTACATAAACGTGAACTATTATTTGTCATATATTGTTATCACTGTGAGAGATGAAGCTGGGGAAATTTTCCTCCATGACATGAGTCTTTTTCTCTCTCTATCTCTCAACTACTCTGGCTCAACACAACTGAGCAAAAAGTCACCCATAAATATTTACTGGGATCAACACTGACCATGCTACTTTTTTCTCCTTTATTTTAGGATTTAGAGAAAAAAACAAAAGATGCAATAAAACAAAGCTGGGAAGGATGAATTTCTCTTTCTTGTGATGCCCAGATGAAATGGAAATGTAATAAATATCAAACTAGAGGCCAAAATAAGGCATAGAGAAATTGCATTTAGAGGATCCCCTACTTTTTGGCTCCCTTTTCTAGACGAATGTATCCCTTTTCTCTTTCCAAATCTTCGTCACCAACAGAAAGTGCAAAACATAATCCTGACAGTCAGTAACACCCCTAGCCCAACATAAACCTCACTCACACTGAGCACATATGCGACATGATAGAACAAATACTACCACCTGCTTGGGTGCAAACAAGATGCATGAAGTAGTCCTCTTGGACTTTTTACCCAAATATTCTGTGACACGTATCCTAGCCAGGCAGCATAAAAATGGTGTAACCATAAATTTATTTGGAAGATAATAATAACTTATTTTATCTTCTTATTTCTTGAATGCTTACTCTTATAAAATGCTAGATAAATATCACTAGGAAGGGATAGCTCCAGCCCAAAAAGATACTTGCACCTCCTCCATTAACCTTTCAAGAAAAAGGGCTGAAAACATAATGATCCAAGACAATTCCAAAAGGTTAGTGGTGGAAAATCTTATCCACATTCAGAGAAAGAACTGATGGAGTCTGAATGCAGATCAAAGCATGCTATTTTCACTTTTTTTCTGTTTGGGGTTTTTTTTTTGTGTTTTTTTTCCTTTTCTTCTGTTTCTTCTTTCACAACATGACTAATGTGGAAATATGTTTAACATGATTGAACATGTGTAATGTATATCAGATTGTTTGCTGTCTTGGGGAGGGGAGGGAAAAAATTTGGAACTCAAAGTCTTATAAGAAATGAAAGTTGAAAACTATCTTTCCATGTAACTGGAAAAAATAAAATACTATTTACAAAAAAACTCATAAAATAGTTAAAAAAAAGAAAAGGGGTTATGAGCCAACCGCCATTTCACACACTTTAATTTGGTTCACTTTGCTAATAGGGAGACTGGAGCCTTAGCTATTTCTAAAGAGAGACAGGACTGCTTGCTTTAAGGACCAAGGTATAGCAGATTACCTTTTTCTTTCCTTTTGGTGTGTCTTAGGAGGAAAGGGGGGAGGGGACGACTAACATTCCATATTATCTGGATTTACAAAGAGTCAGGTGCCATCACTGCCTCTAAGCCTTGGTAAAAAGCTTCAGTGATCAGTGATAAAGTGAATCACTTTGACTATCTGAAGGTGCCACAACTATTTTAAGAGCTAATCCAAGACTCCTCTCCTTTTAATGCTACAAGGAGATTTCAATACACTAATACACCAAACACCAATTTTCCTGATCTTAAGCCTCATCTGCTCCAAACTTTAATCTTTATTTTTACCTAGAAGGCATATATGCCAAGATACGTTTTAGAATAAAAGGTGGCTTTAAAAGATAGGGTATTTTCAGGGACTGCTAGGTGGCACAGTGGATAGGGCACCAGCCCTGGAGTCAGGAGGACCTGAGTTCAAATTTGGCCTCAGACACTCACTAGCTGTGTGACCCTGGGCAAGTCACTTAACCCCAACTGCCTCAAAAAAAAAAAAAGACAGGGTATTTTCACCACAACTACTGACCTACCTATATTGCAAGGCAAGTCTCAAAGCTGTGGCATTGGACTCGTACTTCCCCACCAGCATGCTCATCCTCTCAGCATTGCTTTTGCACTCCTCCAGTGTTATGGTCAGCAGATCATTCTGAGATTTCAGGTGCTCTATTCGACTGCAAAGAAAAAGGCTCATTTTCAAATTTCCTGCTGATGCAAATAAATCTGCCAATTCTTAAAAAAAAAACTTACAGATATTCATGTCAGGGGTTTTGATTGTTCAGATGGAAGAAACATTTTAATATCTTTGGATATTTTAACAAATAAAACACACACAGATAATGAAGGAAACTGAACTCTGAAATTCTGGGGATAAGAGACTGGGTGCAAGGGGGCCAGTTAGGAGGCTACTGTAATAATCCAGGAGAGAGTTGTAGTGTGAATAGAGAGAAGTGGATAAACACGAGAGACACTACAGAAGGAAAATCAAAGATGTGGTAAATGATTAATAATGGCTGGTGGGTGAATCTGAACAGTCAAGGATGACTCCTAGGTTGTAAACCTCGGTAAGCAGAAGAATGAGTCACCTACAAAAATAGGGAAATAAGAAATGGGAGTATGTATATGAAGAATAATGAATTCTGTTTTGTGTGTGTTGATTTTGAGGTGCCTAAGTAGGTAGAGATGAAGTTGGAAAGGCAACACCAAAGCTCAAGAGAAAGAGATGAAGAATGGATACACAAAGGGCAGCTACGTGGCGCAGTGGATAGAGCACTGGCCCTGAAGTCAGGAGGACCTGAATTCAAATCCGGCCCCAGACACATAACACTTACTTACTAGCTGAGTGACTCTGGGCAAGTCACTTAACCCCAATTGCCTCACCAAAAAAGAAAAAAAAAAAGAACGGATATACAGATTTGGGAATGAATAGAAAGATGGGAGCTGATGAGAATGAATAGAGAGAAGAGACAGAACACAGTCCTTTTTTTAGTGTATATACCCTCACACTGACAGGGGATAAATGTATAAAGAAGACAGACCCAAGGAGAAATTTGACACACAGGAAGAGATCTAGAAGAGTATTGTTATGAAAACCCAGAGGGTAGCAAGTAGCAAGGAGAAGGTGGTGAATAGTATCAAATGCTGCAGGGAGGTCATGAAGAATGAGCACTGTGAAAAGGCCACTTAATTTAGCAAGTAAGAGGGCACTGGTGACCTTGGAGGAAGTGTTTCAATGGAGTGGTCATGAAGGAAGCCAAATTGCAAAAGGTTGGGAATGAATGAGAGGAGAGGCAGTGGAGGCATCAAGTATAGCAGGTTTATTTTTCTGGGAATTCGGGGAAGAAAGAAATAGGATAAAATTATGAGGGGAAAGTAGGGACAAATGAAGGTTCTTAGAGGATCCTCTTTAAAAAGGAGATCTGGGAAGCAGGAAAAACGCTGCCAGATTACCAGAAGAGGTTGGAAGTTAGGGAGATACAGGGGTAAGCTCCTGAAGGAGATGGGAGGGGATGGTGTCATGCACAGGGGTCTCTAGAAATTGCAAAGCATATTTAAAAGAATGAATAGCCTGTGTTCTGAACACAAAGCATTAAAAGGTCAAAATACCCTCAGACAGAATATTGCCAAGAGTGTTGCCAAGTCAAGAAGAGGAAAATCATCTACAGTCAACTTAGCTAAAGCAACTGATGCATTTGAAGGAATTTAAAGGACGGTTCAGGGCTAAGTGTTATGAAGACCTCAGGAATACACTCCTTTTATAGCATATGAGAACGGCAGAGTGATTCACTTCCTACTCCACAAAGTTAATAGCTATCGTGTTTTTGGGCAATAAATTCCCCAGTGTTAGAAAACAAGAAATACAAAACTATCAGGAAATGGTGGGTTATTTATAGGTGTCCACATGTGCATGCTAGTTTTGTCACTTTTTAAAATGTGCTCTTAATGGAGAAGGGAATCTCAGTCTACACAGCAGAACTGTCAAATCCTATAAGCTATATTATGCTGTAACCTACCTTGAAGACATCTGACTTTATTATATTATATAATATATATGGTTGTATATATTATATAAAATTATATTTATTATATAAATTATATATATATATAATTATATTATATTATATAAAAGACATATTTGACTCAATGCTTTCAAGAACAATTTTGGACCAATAATTCTTTGAGTATCAATTAAGTGGACTTAGGGACAACAGCTCTGTAATGAAATCACCATCAGTTCTGTTCCTCTTAATTATCTTGATTAAAAAGCATTTAATTTAAAATTTTCTAAAGACCTAAATGACCACAGTCTCTTAGTTTTTAAGAAGCACATTAAAAAGCTTCAAATCAATTATTCAATTAACTTTTAACAAGGATTAAATAGTGAATATATTAGGTAACATTTTTTTCCTAGTTAGTTTATCAACTTCCACAATTTTACCCCAGGTACCTATTACAAGTTATGGGTCAAAGCAGTGATTATGCCTGAAGGCACAATATTCCATTCTGCCATTTGGAACATTATGTCTAAGCCAAAGAGTTGTTAATGACTTGACTTTGGATTTCCACTTGCTCTTTCAAAATTTCCTTGCCAAAGGAGTTAACCATTTACAACATGATGTCACCAGTTTTGAAGTTAGCAAGAATCAGAAAACTTTGAGTGTCTTCTAAAAGCTGGCCCATAACTCTTGCCCTGCCTGTTGCATATAGATGACAACCATGTACTGCTACTGGGCTCGTGGAATATTTTACAAAGCAACAGTCTTAGATCAGGCCTATTCAAACAAGCATTAAGCAGGCCTGACTGCCAAAATTCTGCCTGGTTAATAAAGGGAACTTTCATATTTAATCCCATTCACTTCTTCCTAATTGATTTGAGAGCCAACACAAGTATAACTAAGACTTGCAAAGATGTCTTCTTGTCATGGCTTTTCCTCTGACCTCAAAACGGTTCCACGGCAGTGTCTGTACTATGACCAATGTGGACAAAATTGGCTTCAGCATTTCTCTGGCTTCTAGAGTAGCTGGAACCTCAGATTTTTCATGCAGTTACAAAAGAAAAATAGGAAAGATCCTTCAAACATTCAAATTTATGATTGAGATGAGAAAATACCATTGAGACTCTGCACCGTTACAAATGTATATATGAATCAATGTATCATATATCAGTAGGAAAACCAATCTGTGACATTATTTGAAAACTAAGATCTCTTCTATGATGTTGGCTCTCTCAAGAAAGGGACTGCAGTGACTGATGACACAATTCCATGTGATACGATAGTTAGAACAAGAGCTAAGAGGGGGATATGAAAAGGAGAGAGCAGTGTGTGAGGGGCCTGATGGGGGGGGGGAGACACTTTTGTGTTTGTATCTTCATGTGGTTTTTTTTTTTCAAACTTACCTGTTTAATCTCTCCGTCTCTACTTCAAATTCTCGAATTTTACTTTCTGAGATGGCAGATCCATGTGAATAGAGGGTCTGGAAAATCTCCTGGATATTGGAACAGTCCTGCAGAGAGTGGGCTAGGTGCTCTGCCACACTGCCAGATACCTGTAGTAGGTATTAAAAAATCCACTTTGATAGGGCTGTAGGATGGTATTGCAGTGCGTTGGACACTTGTAGAAGTGACAAATTATTATAAGCTGATATTCTTGGAGAACTGGAGCCAAAAAATATGGCTAAAGTAATTACCTTTTATATGGGCACCATACAAAAGGCAATTACTTTAGCCAGTTTTTTGGTTCACATAATTTCACTTTAGTTCCAAAAGCCAGTTTTAAAATAATTTTTAGAAATGAAATTAATAAGTACATGTAAATATTCCATTTTTGGGATCAACGGTAGAAAAGCACGAACAGATCCACACCTTCCTTTCTAAGCCCTAGAAGTACACAGACCTACTGACCCTGGGCACTTTCCTTTCTTTTTTGTTCTTTGTAATTGAGAGCCCTGAGATTTCAGCCTAGTTAAAGGAGGTTCTATAATTTGCACACTCAGTTGAATGAGTTTTCACAGCTTAGTGAAATTTTGCCAAAATGAAAAGCTCTCCAACTATAAGATCACTCTCAGCACATGGAATCATCAGATACTGTCTGAGTCCACTGTGAACTCTTCTCACCATGCAATCCGTCAGGAACACTAGACATAGTCCTTGTCCATTTTCTATCACCTATCTACTCTGCTCCAAATTAGAAGGACTTTATTGGTCTCACTGATGAAAATTTTATTACTGAAGTACAAGAGCTCAACCTTTCATTATGTTGAGCTAATCCTTCAGAAGCAACATTCATCCTTGCTAGAGAATTTATTCCCTTTTAAGAGTGAGGTGCACAAGATAACAGTTTTTTGTGGGCATAATAACTACAATGTGTTTTCTGTTGAATCTAGATGGCAGAAAAAAGCTCCAGTTTTTCATCTGTATCCAATAATCAGGCCTAGATAATTTCTTCCTCAATGTTTCATAAAGGGAAACAAAAATTCATTTGCTCTTGCAAAAATTATCTACCATACTGAAATCAATGTTGGTTCTGATTTTGGGGAATAAAAAAAATAATTTAGTATTAGACTTAATTGGTTTGCTGGATCAAAAACTTGAATGTCCATTAAATAATCTCTAAAGTGCTTTTTTTTTAATCTTTAAATAGTTCTTTAAGTATTTTTTGATGCATTTCTTAAGAACACTCACCCCTATACTGCTGATTTCCGATCCTAAGATGGGCCGATCAGATGAGGAAGACTCTGACCTTGTCTTCGACAGTTTCACTCTCTCAGCAATCTAAAGAAAATCACAAGTCATTTAGATTGTGTGTATATATAGCTACTGTTCCAACCATCTTGACTCAAAGTATTTCAGTCCTACTCCCTCAGGTTTCTTCCTCTGGCTTTACACAGAACTGTTTCAAAACACTGATGTTATGATGCATTATAGCTATATGTGCTGGAATCTTGTTCCCCTACTAACTAGACTGTGAGCTACTTGAGGCTATGGTTATGGGTTATGTCTTAGCCAGACTTGATTTCTCTACAAGCGTCTAGCCATGCTGTGCCCAGTATAGATGCTTACTAATATCATTTATGCTTATGTTCTAAAAACCATTTTTACTGATTTTCCTATAACTAGTTTGACTAAACTGACTTAATTTATTAGTAAACATGACCACAGCATTGAAACTGGATATATCTGCTGTGAAAACTGACCTATTTCCTTTACAGGCCTTCTTTGTGTAACAGACTTCCTAACAGTTAGCAGTGGACCTGTCTATGAGGTCATTTTCCTAGCTCCCTTGACTATCACACAAACCTTCATTCTTGTTATAGTGTAAATAGCTTAGAGAAACTTTTCTCTATGGTCATAACCTATTTGCCACCACTTTCCTACTGCTAACTGTTTTGGCCTCATTACCAGGGAAAGACTTGTATACTAGCCAAATCCCTTTTCCATTGTCAAGCTCAATCTAATTTATAAACAGAAGAAATATTTTATTCAACCTGAAGCACTGCAGGACTTTACAGAACGTCCCTGTCTTCATAATGAGTTACCATACTGGGAAGTCCTTGCCATGTTGAGTTGGTTAATGTGAGCTAGTGTTTGTGTTCCAATTGAAAGAGAGTTAAAATTATGAGTGGGTTAACTCTCCCTGTAGCTCAAACACAGAAGTTCTGAGTACTAGGAAAACTCTCTTGGGACACAAGGAATTCTTTCTAGCTAATCACATGCTTGCACAATAGCTGTGTACAATGGTAACTGTTGGTCCCAGATAAGAAGAGATATTATCACCAACTGAAAATAGCTCACCTTGGCAATGGGGATGTCATTGCTGCTGCTGCTGGTGCTCAGCTCTCCAGTGCTGGGATTAATTGGTCGGTTAGTAGAGGTGAGACGACCTGGACTGGAGGGCCCCGATGCCTGGACACTCTGTAAGCGTGTTTGTAGTTCTCGAACCTGAAACAATAATATCTTTAGATACAAATGACACAGTTTTTAGCAAACTGAATTTTAATTTTGAGTTGATGATGTGGATGCCTTCATGGGATAGCTCTCATTTCTGTTAAAGAATGAGTGCCAATGATTGAGCTAGGAAACTTAAACTGGATAAGAACCACAAAAAATTACAGTCCCAGGCTGGCCTTAGGTCAATCTACAGTGGTATGTAAGTTATTTGGGACAAATGTTTTCTTACTTTATGGATGAGTTTATTCCATTCATAGTCACAGTTCTGATCATTTATTTTGTATTTTACTCCATCCTATCTTTATATCTCTTCTTTTTTGTCCCCTTGTCCCCTCTTTATAAATAAAATGGTAAGAGAATGCGTTCAACACTAATAATCTGTTAGTGATACAATGCTTTTCCTCCTTTGCCCCATCCCCAAACATAGAGGAAATTTTTCTTACCCTTTCTTTCTTTCCTTTTATTCTTCTCTTCATAATCTACCCTCTACAGTTGAAATCTATGACTAATCCCTCACTAAATCTTTTTTACTCCCTACCTCCTTTCTCCCTGTTCCAACCTAATTTCCTATTGAATTTAACATGTTTCTACATCAAAGGGTCTGTGTAATACATATGTGCAAGTGTGCACATTCAACCCTTCTTTGACCACTTAAAATGAAAGTAAGGTTCCTGTGTAACCTACCCTCTTCATTCTGTCTTCTATATTTGTACAGTCTTCTTGAATAACTCAGTTTTCTGAGATGATAAGGTTCCCCCATCTCCTTTCCCTTTCTTCCTTAGTGTGTTTGTTTATGTCTCCCCTTTCTTTCTTTTCCTAAGACCTTAAAACATAACAAAACCACTGTCGGGCCCTCTATTTATATGACACTTGATGACAGTAGTCTTCTGAGGGGATACTTGTTTCTTCTGTTAGAAGTAAATACTTCATCATTGTATAAACTCTTCTGATTGTTCAAGTGTATTTACTTTCATAAGTTTTTCTTGATGCCTGTGTTTGTACTTCAGAGTATCTACGTAGCTCTGGTCTTTACATCAGATATGTTCAAAAGTCTTCTATATCATTAAAATTCCATTTTCCTCCCATAGGATTATATTCTGTTTTGCTAGGTAAGTAATTATTGGTTGTAAGTCTTTAATCTTTTACCTTTGGGAATAGTATATTCCAAGTTCTCCTCTCTTTCAGAGTGGCAGCTATCCAATCTTATTTGATATGGACTATGGCTCTTTAAAATTTGAACTTTTCTTTCTAGTTGTTTACAGAAGTTTTACTTTACCTAGAAGCTCTGGATTTTGACTATGACATTCCTGGGAGGTTTCATTTTGTGATTTTATTCAGGAGGTGATCAGTTAATTCTTTCTCTTTTCACTTTATCCTTTAGTTCTAATAGGACTGGGTAGTTTTCATTCATGATCTCTTAAAATATTAAATGTAGGCTTTCAATTTTATTTTTGGTCATGGTTTTCACATAGCCTTGTGATTCCTAAATTTCTCTCCCTGAAATATTTTCCAGACCAGTTGACTTGATGCAAGATATTTTACATTTTCTTGTATTTTTCCAGTCTTTTGATTTTGTTCTAGTATTTCTTGTTGTCTCATGAAGTAATTTATTTCTGTTTAGTGCAATCTAATTTTCTTACATGGGTAAGATTTTGCACCTCATGTATAAAACCAATTTATTTTCCTTCAAATTATTTCCTCTACAACTCTCATTTCATTTCTCATTTTTTCATCTACATCTGATATTTTAAAAATCTTTTCATTTTTCCAAGGAAATGTGTAGAGCTTGTGGTATAATTTTTTTGGTTTTGTTTGAAGCTTTACCTATAGATACTGTGGCCGTTATTCTCTTCTTCTGGGTTTACGCCTTGGGCATACTTTGTTCCATAATTTTTCTTTATCCTCAACATTTTCTTTGGTTTAATCATTTTGCCAGTCTTACTTCTTAAACTGTACCGGACTCTGTGCACTTCTGAAAGAACAAGTGGGTCCTGGTACAGTTGTGACCTGTTTTGTTTGGTGTCTTACCACTGATTTCTCTGGGTACTGAGTAATTTTTTTCTTCAAGGACGTCAAGGGTGTCTCATGCCAGTGAACTATGTTGGTGCCGGCCTTGATCACTGCACTCTCATTCCAAGCCCTGTAGGCTCTTGACCATTGGTCTGGGCTGAGAGTGACATAGTTGCAGGCTCCAGGTATCCACATTCCTCTCTTTCTGCCCCTGGATACCCAGCTATCAGCTCCAGATTTCCTTGCCCCACCCACTTTTGTCCATTTGAAAGCTTTCTTATGTTGTGCTCTGAAAGTTTCTGGCTGTATCACTATGTCCCTCAGGTAGAAAAATATACTTATCGTAGTCTCTTCTTGGATTTTTTAATAATTACTTGTTCTGGTGCTATTTTCCATTTTTGCTGGAGTAGCTATGTAAAGAAAGCTGGGTTGTTCTGCTGCTGTTTATTCTGTCATCTTAAGGAGGTCTCTTATTTTTTTTTTCTTAACATGGTTATTGCTGTATCATTTGAATGCTGTCTCCATTTACTTTGGTTATTTCAGTGACTTCCAAAGGCAAGATGATGTGGAATATGTGAGCTTAAATAATTAAATTACCATTTCTAACTTGAGCATGTGCAAGATACTAACAATATATACTATATCACAACAACTCAGAATAACAATGAGACTTTAAAAAGGACTTTACAAATGAAGCAGCAACCTAGTGTAGCTGTGACCTGACCAATGTTCCATATTGCTTCAAAAACAGAAGCAAGAGTAACAGTTAAAGCCTGAAGCACTAACAATCAGCCAGCCTCTTTCAGGATACAGAATAGAGACTATTTCATACACATCTCTGACATGCTTACTATACAAAATACCTTTAATATTCTCCCTCCTACTAAAAAGAGAACCAAAAATAATTGAAATTTCAATAATTCATCAACACATTTGAAATTAAAATAAGAAAAGTCCCTTCAAAGTAGTTGCATCTAGCAATGAGATAGATATAAAGTACCTTTTACTCTTCCAATAAGTTTGTATTTGTAGAAATCTCCATCATTCTAGTAATATGCCAGAGGCACAGAGAGCTGACCACAAAATAGTTTGAAGATTAGAAAAATACATGGTTTTCAAGGCCAAATGGTAATGCTGGTAAGAGATTACATGGTTTGCCCTGTAATAACACCCAACAGGCAAAGACTAAGAGGTCTGCTTGGACAGATCAATTATGCCACATGGCAAATGAATGAATGGAACTCATTTTTTCCATAAAAGTTACCTCCTGGCACTACAAAGAAATATAAAGCTTGAAAGGAAATACTTCTCCCTATGTCAGACCGGTTCTTTTCGTTTTTTTGTGCTGTGAATAATTAACTAAATAATTAACAATTTAACAACCTTTTGCTAAAATCCAGTGTCTAAATCACACATAAAGCATTTTCTATCTTTTATTCCTAGAATCCCAAACATCCTCCTACCCTGTTGATTTTTAAACAAAATATTCAGTTGTACAGTGAAAACTGGATTCTGCTCTCTATATGCTTTGGGCCCAGGGTATATTTTTTAAAAAATAACAAATATTTTGTTTCTTTTGGTCTGTGCTTTATTATTGAACAGTGAATAAAAATTCTTACAATGAATCCAGGAGAAAGGAAATGAATAAAGCCTTTAGGCAATATTATAATATAGATAAATTTAAAAAAGAGAATAGCTTGAATATGGGAGGGAGTCATGAACAGTCTTAAATGAGTAAGACACAGGAAAAGCCTCAATCTAGGTTACATATTTCAATTGGATATGTTGTTGGGGAAAAGAAGAGTCTGAACAAAAACAATTTCAAAATACAAATTCTCAGGTCTCAAATTAGAGGACTGTAAATATCAGTGTCTGCAGAACATTTATAAGATCAAAAATATTTTGCATGTGTTATAATTACCATAAAAAGACTATGACTGGTTCAGTCTATGATCTGTAGCAACATTTATTAACATGACAATTTTGGCAATTAGTTTTCCAGAGTGTTAAAATTTTACTATGTAAGGTCAGATAAGGTGAATTCTGCACTGGGAAAAGTGAATCAATAGTCTGGGAAAACTTAGTTGAGATGTAGTGCCCCAAAAATTGTTTCAACGATGATAGGATTCTAGTAACTCAAATTTCGTAAGGATATTTTAGGAATCAGAAAAACAAGAAAAGCTAATACTTATTTGTTCCACTTAGATAAACAGGCATTTCTTTGGATGGCAAGTATTATGCAGTTATACTTGCTATATGCCTAAAGAAAGCCCAATTCTATTTCTAATAGTATTTTCCTCTGCTAAGGGGGATTAAAAATGGCTAATTGTACTCTAAGAGTGGGGAGGAAGGAAGAGATAAGGAATAAACCATAATTGTCAAGATAATTACTGAATGAAAGGACAAGTGAGAGACATATAAAAGGAAAGCAAATGACTTCCTCTTCCATCTCTTTAAAGAAATAGGCCTGATCTCTGTGGGGTTTTCCCCACTTTTCTTTATATCCCCAGCACTTAGCACACTGTCTGGCACTTAGCTGGAGTTTAATAAATGCTATCTGTCTGACACATCTTGCTCTGTGGTCAAATGAGTATTGGTCCTAGTTTTAAATATGACCATTAAATAAAATCGACATTCTGAACCTCCTCATTTTATTTGTTGATTTAATAAACCAGATACTATCTTTTAATAACATAAAAATGAAGTTGATGCTTAAAATATCTTTCCTAGGAGCTCATACATATCAGCAGAAACTCTCTGTAAAGAAGTGAAGAAAGTATAGCTCAGAGGATTATCTAGCCAGAGATCACATTTAAAATTCTCAGACAGTGGAGACAATGGGTTTAAGCCAACAATCTTCCAGCATGGCTGAAGAGGGGTATAAATGCAGGATTTCTTCCCTCAGAGAGCAGCCAATTTTACCCTAACTTTGTAATTTTCTTGGGATCCTAAGAAGGTAAGAGAGAACCAAAAACAATCAT